AAGGCCATTGATGCATCAGTGGATGGTTTGGTTTGAGTCTGAAGGCAAAATGGGTACTGGTGGCCAGGTCAGATTCTCAGCCCAGATGAATTGCCCGATACTACATTGCCTGTGCCAAGACCAAGGACACCTATAAAGCTCCTTGCGAGAGAAGATACAAGTTTGTAAGTGCCTCCTTTGGTCCCTTCATTTCGTCAATAAATGTTGATACTATGACATTCTTTTGTGTTTATAATTTAATCATTCTTCACATTTAAAGGTTAGGATCTTTATTTAGTTAGACATATGATCCTCTGTTACTATGCATAGTATAGTAGTGAGATAATGGTTTCATTTTATTTAAAATCACCCAAAGTGATTCGTTCAGTTCCTGCTTCATTGCTAAAAACATCAATTTTGGTTACCTTTATTTGATAAATGGTTAGTATCAAATATTTGATATTCTATATAAAACAAGAATTTTATTCTGTCATATTCTCTTCATGTGCTCTGTCATGACTCCATACACGGTAATAGTTGCACCCTATATCCTTTTGATTTCTATATAAAGAGTGGTGATGATTCTGATTTTACTTGTCATAGAAAAAAAGAGTGTGAAAAGGACATAATGCTTGCAAGTTAGGTTTTTCAGTTGCTAACCTCGAATCGGTGGGAGCATTTTTTGTAAAATTTTGTCATATTCGGCAATCATTGTTCAAGTTGTATCGTTGGCTAAAATTTTTTTAAGGTTATGTCGTATTCAATAATCATTGTTTTCCTTGTATCATTGGCAGTCAACGAGCTACGAATGTTAATGGTGCATAAGGCAGTTTCACATTTAGGTATGGCCATTGTGTCCTTTTACACTACGTATGAGTTTAAATATCACGTTGACACTAGTTTCGAGTCTTTGAGCTCGGGATTCAAAATAATATTATTTGGTACCAGCAGTACAACCGGCTTTGTTATCCTGAGATTAGTCTATTTTTAGATCATGTTTGGCAAAGGTTAAATGTAGGTACTTACGTAAATTATTGTTTCTTAAAACTTGGGGAAGCTTGCCCTTGACCTTCTGAAGGACAAGTTGATATGCAATATTTAGAACCTACCTACAAAAATTCTATTTCCTGTATATCAATAATTATTAGGGTTGGTTCATTTTGCACTTGTTGTTCAATGATTACTCAGTTTCTTTTTACAGTCAGTTTTTGTCTTTCTTAAAAGATCCTCGAGTTCAATCAGTACAAGATAATTTAATTTAAATTATTGCCAAATTTCTTTCAGGGGCTAGTATAATCTTGAGGCTTCAAAAAGAGTAAAAGTTTTTTGTTGCGGAGAGCTCAAATCATGCGTTGAGAAAGCTAAGGTGTCCACATCTAATTCATCGAAGAAGACAGGGAAATTTGCTCACAGTGGTGATGCCATTGTTCATGCACTTAAGATCGAAAGTGCTTGTATTCAAAATGACCACCCAGAAGACTTGGCTTCTTGATGCCATTTATAGACTTGGCTTATCTCCATGGTTTTCAGGGGTGGACCCAAGGGGGGATCCTAGGGGGGCAGGTGCTCCCCCAACTTTTGAGATTCTTTTTTTTTTTAATCACGTTTGTTATGTATTGAAATTTAAATTTTAATCTAAATCAAAGTTAACAATTAATTTTAATAAAATATTTCATGGAATCCATAACTGTTTAATTGGTACCAAAATTTACTAAAATTTTGATTTTAATTTCCACCAAACAGGGGTAAAATCA